ACCCTGGCTTAACCCATGGAAACCTGAAATCCTCAAATGTACTACTAGGATCTGATTTCGAGTCATGTCTTACTGATTATGGACTTAACTTATTCCGAGATCCCGATTCACTTGAAGAATCTAGTGCAACTTCACTCTTTTACCGAGCTCCCGAATGCCGTGACGTCCGTAAGCCAACCACACAACAAGCCGACATCTATAGCTTTGGTGTTCTTCTGTTGGAGCTTCTAACAGGGAAAACACCATTTCAAGATCTAGTCCAAGAACATGGTTCTGACATTCCCAAGTGGGTTAATTCCGTTAGAGAAGAGGAGACAGAGTCTGGGGATGATCCTGCATCTGGGAATGAGGCATCGGAAGAGAAACTTCAAGCTCTTTTGAACATTGCAATGGCTTGTGTTTCGCTTATGCCACAAAACCGACCAATGATGAGGCAAGTTCTAAAGATGATAAGAGATACAAGAGCAGAGGCTCAAATCTCATCCAACAGTAGTGACCATTCACCAGGTAGCTGGTCTGATATTGTCCAGAGTTTGCCCAGGGATGAACATTTAGGTATTTGAATGGCCTCCAAATTTACAAGTTTACACTTTGATTATCATTGTCGTTGTCGTTGCTATTCTTGATTTTCATTTTCAAGGCATATTTTATTATTATTCTTCTTGGATGGTAGAGAGTGTAAAGTTGTTAGATTTTATTGGTAAAGTGTTTCTTCTGTGGGCTAGTTTCGTCAAAACAAGAAGCAGAGCTGGAGCGAGCTGATGCACTTGGTTCATCCTCGTCTTGCCGTTCATTTGATAGGAAATAAGTAATTCATCCATCAGACGAACAGACAGAAAGTGTAGAGCATGTTTAGGTGATTCAATGTCATTAGTCCAATTCCAATGATTTGCTTCATATTCATCAAATATTTATACATTTCACACATAAGTGCAATTTATGATGTTTTGCTTTCCATCAATAATGGTTGCGAATTATTTGCTTCATACTGTTCTTGAGGGAGTTGATTGACTGGAACGGAAGTCGATATTCAACAGAAAGAAAAGGATGAGCAACCCTACATGGTAAGAAACCAAAATACTTATTGTTCCTCTCTTTTTACTTTTTTATTATATTATTATTATTTTTTTAAGTATTTTTTTCCAAGAAAGAACACAATTTTTCCCATAGTAACTATTTCTCAATTGGCTAAAAAAATAAAAACTCTTCTGTGTTTCGAACACTCAATTTTTAAATTAACAAATAAAAGTATATTTTAGTTAAATTGTGAATTTAGTTCTTATGATTTTTAGAGTTAGAGGTTTGTCTCACGGTTTGATAAAATATCATAATTACTTTTTATGATTGGATCTTAATTTTTGTGTGAACAAATCTGAGATATCTTGCAATAGCAATTGGCTACAACTTGGGAAACAATAGTTGGCAGTAATATCATATTTTCAAGACTACAAAAGTTGAAGTGCCCTTACTCTCTAGCCACAACAAAATGTGGTGGCTTTGGGACATACATCATCATCATCATCATCCGAGTCTGAGCCAAGGTCGAAGTCATGTCAACGTGATTCTATCTGCTTGCTCAGATCATTGAAGTACGAGAACATACTTAAACACAATTCATTATTTATGAGCTGAAGAATGGTATTCCATTAGACAACCATCTTATTCCGAATGGTTAATATGAAAGGGATAAATGAGAGTCCAATTTAAGATCCTTTATATGGAATACAACAACAATTAGAATGAGATTGTGTACTCAGGTTAGAACATTTCAACTATAAACATTTAAAATCAAATGACAATTAACACTACAATCAACTTACACTAAATGCAAGAAATTAAGTAAAATAAGGTAAAAAGGAGAGTGAATTGGCATTCAAGAGAGGTGTAGGCGAAAAAACTAGCAAGTATCAAACGTCGTAATATTATATTTTAATCATACTAGACCGCGAAAATGACGTGGGCTGCTGGTCATGGGAGCATTTGAGGCATATGGGAAAAGGAAATTGCTAAGCTTAGCATTGCTTATGGTCTTTATAAAACAATTCTGACCATTGTTAGTATTTGATAAAAGTGATTTAAATGTTAGAGACATGGCTGTAAATTATGGACCCCGTCTTTCATCCATCTGCCAAGCAGGGCAGAGAGGTAAAAAACATAAAAACTGACAAAACCAATGAAGAATCCAGAAATGGCAGGTTTGGTGCAGAAGAAAAGGACAATGCGGTTTTAGAGGAACTAGTCACCAATTATGCACAAAGGAAAGAACCAGCAGAGCATAAACAATTACTTAAAGAAACTAAATAAACAATCAGAGAAACATAGAACATTCTATTTCATATGGGCCTACTGCCAATCGGAGACAAACTTGCTAGACGACAACCAAAGGGCCCCCATGTAAACTTTTCTTGTCCCCCCAAAAGTCAGAAAGTTGAAGGCAGTTTTGGATGTTTCCCTTGCATCGTTTTCCACTTTATAGAGGCTTGGTCACCCATCGCTATAATATTAAAAGAAATTGAGAACGACCTTGCCTTCGTAAGTATGGAAGGAGAGAGAAACAATATTTTCGCGACAATTGTCACTACATGGTAGCCCCTTAACAATGTCCTCTTCTCTTCTCTTCTCTTTGTTTTCTTCCACTTGTGCTCTTCCTCCTCCCCACACTTTAACAACTTTTTCTCTCTTTCCAAAAACAGAGAATATAAACAGCACTTCTCAGTTTAATAACTTTTATAGGAAGGCCATATGTTTAAGGAAGATACCACAGTGATGAACTCCAATCCACCACTCTTCCATCAATATGGGTTGCTTTTGCAATCCACAGCTCATTTACAGCCACTTCAAAGTGGCTATCAACCAACTAGCTCTGTCCTGGAGGAATGTCAGCTCCCTCTTGTCGATCTTAAAGGTTTGGAAAGTGGCAAAGAAAAAGAGAGGATGGCTTGCAGTAGCGAGATTTTTGAAGCATCTGCAGAATGGGGATTTTTCCAAGTGATTAACCATGGGATACGCTCAGAGCTGCTGAGCAGAATGAGCAAAGAACAAATGAAGTTGTTTGCGGTGCCCTTTGAGAAAAAATCTACAAGTGGGATTTTGGATAATTCTTACAGATGGGGAGCAGCCACTGCAACCCAACCAAACCAGTTCTCTTGGTCTGAAGCTTTTCACATTCCCCTCACAAAGGTCTCTGAAGCTGACTGCTATGGCAACTTCATTCACTTAAGGTATAGATTTTATCACCCTTCTTCCAACTAGAAACTTCTCTTGAGCATTGTCTCAAATTTATTTAGTTCATATGTTTAAAACACAGTCTATTTAGCCTTTGAACTTACAAAAAAAAAAAAAAAAAAAAATCCCATTTCATTCTAGGTTATGTTTTTCTTTGTTAACATCAGAATGCTTAATATGACAGGCTGTTCGCCTGTCCAGTTGTTTGCTATAATATCGCACCAACTCAGCTAAGAGTCATATAAAAACATGTCACAATAGCGTTCCTTGATAGTTTCAATGACAATCACTAAACAAAGCATAATTCAAAATTTAACAATATAATAAAACAAATCCAAAACCCAACGTCTAAGGACTATACTCGTATTCTTTAACATCGTAATATTCACGCACTTGAAGATTTTAGGTCTTCTAGACATTTTCACAAACAGTTCGACAGCAAAAGTAATGCACTCCGATATCACAATCAACCAATGTACTAGATTACAAAAACAAAGAGAGTGCATTGCTCACTGACCTTATATCCTCGAACGCCAGGGAAGTAATGGAGGAACTGGCAACCGCCATGTCGAAGCTCGCAAGATCTCTAGCAGGAGTTTTAGTGGAGAGCTTGGGCCACCGGAAGGAAGTATTTGAAGATATGTGCGATGAGAGCACATGCTTCCTCCGGTTGAATCACTACCCAATCTGTCCGTTTCCCGGCAAAGTTACCGGCCTGGTGCCCCACACCGATAGCGATTATCTGACCATACTTCATCAAGATTCCGGCGGTGGGCTTCAGCTGATGAAAGGGTCGCAATGGGTGGCCGTGAAACCCATTCCGGAAGCCCTTGTCGTCAACATTGGAGATCTTCTACAGGTACAAACTGAAACTCTTTCGAAGTATAATGGTTTGGTAGAGGAAGTAGAAATTGGGTATAAAAATATAGTTTGAAATGCAGGCTTGGAGCAACGATACGTACAAGAGTGTGAAGCATAGGGTGGTGGCTAACTCGGCGCGGGAAAGATATTCGACAGCATACTTCCTCTGCCCATCTGACCATTCTGGAATCGGGAGTTGCCGGCAGCCTTCACCATACAGACACTTCACATTTGGAGAGTACAGGAAGCAAGTGAGAGATGATGTGGAAAAAACTGGGTACAAAGAAGGGCTTTCCAGGTTTCGGCTGTAAATCACTCCAATAACAAATGGAAGTATCAATTTCAAGTACGCATAAACATCCAAACGATTAAGAACAATCACGTGCATCCGTATCTATCAAGGCTTTAAAAATAAGGGTTTAACCAGTACACATCTACATATCTAATCAGTGAGCTAATGCCACTTCCAATCTAATAAGAAGGTGAAGGGTTAAGATTCTGAAGAGCAATAGGAGAGATAGGCGAGCAAGCTACAGAGACTAGAAACAAAAGAATGCAAATTAGGAAGAACCAATGCTATCTAAAATGTGGGCGTTCCAACAACAAAAGAATTCCAAAAGATTGTTAAGTAGCTGATTTGATGTTTTACTCTTTGAACTTTTGTTATATGAATGTAATGAAGTTTTATTTCGTCTCTCATCATTATTTGTTTATATATCTATGCGACTAGTATGGATACCTTTATGTTTTTCGGATTTTATATAAAATAGAAAAAAATTATAACCAACACCTCTTAAATTCCTTTTAAAATTATATAAATTAAACTTTTTAACTTTTTTATTTAAATTATAGGTCAATTTTATAATTTAACATCTTATTTTCTATTTATTTTCCCTCTTATTTATTATTTTTAATTGCTTTTAACCCGCGTTCCGCCGCCTCCTCCTCCCTCCCATTTCCAGCCGCTGCTTCCCGTCCCTCCGCACGTCGTTCCTGCCCGACCCCATTTCTGCAGCTTCCGCTGCAAGCTACAGTGCCAGCCTTCTGTGAAATTGCCGCTGCCCCTGTCTCTCCGAGCAAACAGAGTAAGTTCTCTGTTTTTTTTCTTCTAAGAGACACAGCGGTTCAACCCTTAACCGCATCGCCGCCACTCATTTTTCAAAACCCAAGGTCTTATCTTCTGTTTTGTTTTTTAATCTGTTTCTTAGGGTTACGTTGATTTATTCTTTCACCGACGAAGAAGAACATCAATAACTTTTTCTTTTCTTCGTTGATTTTATCTTCAACCAATGTTGTATTAGTCCAAATGAAAACGTAAAACTAAGAACGTAAACCGATTGATCAATAAAACAAACTATAATTCTTATCCGAGTTAATTTATAAAGAGGAGACAATAACTCACCTTTAGTTTGGTTGGCTATCAAAAACTCGTTGGATCGAGATGTGGCATTTGAAAAGATTGAAATTAATGTTTATCGGTCGAAAAACTAATTGAGTTTGAGTTTGATTGAATGGCGTTGAATCTTCTTGAATATAGAAGAAACTATGGATGCCCATGAACTGGCATAGGGAGTTCCAAATCACAGCTGACAACAATTTTTTTTCTTGCATCCAAACACGTTCAAGGATTTCGAATTAGAACTGATTTGAAATCCTTCCAAATATAGAGGTTCAAACAGCGGTAAAGGAGAATAGATAAAGGTTACTGAAACCCTCGCCCCTTCTTTTTCCCTCTCCCTTGAGTTTTGATTTTGTTTAATAATGGGAAAGTCTGTTTCTGCTGCAACTTCCTGAAAATTTTATGCTGTTACGTTATATATATATATATATATATATATATGCATCAAACAGTCAATATTCATGGCGCAAGATAATATCAGGGAGAAACAGATGGTGAGAGTTGCTTCTGATGGAGGAACTGGGCGTCGTTTACCGCAGTGGATGCTGGGAGTTCGTGCTGATGACCAAGTACAGAGATCTAATGATGTAGATAACGACAAGAAGAGTCTTGAGGAAGAACTTGAATCTCAAGCTTCCCTAGCCAAGGAAGCAAATTCATTTAAGCGTCCTCAAAAATCTGTGTTACACCAACAGAAAGAGACTTTGGTGGAAGATTTCTGCACCCCAGAATGTGTTTCTAAGAAAAGAAAGGGAAGAAAACGAAAATCAAGTCGAATTGATGAGGCTGAGGATGCTGATGACCCTGAGGCAGTCCCAGCTATGAAATCAAATAGACTTAGAAGGAAGCTTGTGGACTCTGCTTTGGGAAAAAGAAAAGCACCAAAAAACCTGGGCACCAGAAGTGATGATGATATGGAACTGACCGTGGAAGATCTAATAGTCATTGCCAAAGAGGTTAGCCACTTTACCCTCTCTTGCATATCAAAGAAGACAACTTTATTTTCTTTTAATTCCAAGTAGTAATCAAGTCATGCTATGCCTAACGTTATTGTATGATTGTATGATTAGAGGATGACAGATACTTGAGATATTATGATTTCGTCTTTTGTTTTTTTGTTTATGAATTTTATGTTCGTTTCTCCACAATTTCTTTACTATGATTTTCATGTTTCTTGAGAAAACATTTGAAGTCTCCGTTAAATTCAAAAAGCAAAAACAAGTCTGTAAAAACTACCCATTGGTAGTTGTTTAAAACATTTGCTGAAAGGTTTTTTTTAATTTTTTTAATTTTCAAGCTTAGATCTCATTTGATAATCATTTGGTTTTGGTTTTTTTTATAAGTGTGCTTGTTTTCTCTTCATTTTCATTTCTCTACTGTGTTTAATCTTTCTTATGAAAAAAATTGAGTTCTTAGTCAAATTCCAAAATCAAAGCATGTTTTTGAAATGTTTTATCTATTTCACTTACTTAATAGTATGAAAATGCATTCATTGACTCGATTTATGATACTATCGGAGTGAAACTATCTTTCTTATTTTTCAAAAAAAAAAAAAAAAAAAAAAAAA